TTTCTGGTGCTTTCACTTCTAGAGTCAGTTGTAAGCACTGTGTAACTGCCTCGAGGGTGCTTGACCATTTTAACACAACGTGTTGCGATCATCCCCCTTGCGCGGAGTGAGGGTTCTCCACCCCGCACAACATGATCTACTCGACCACCATTATGGTTACCGCCAAAAAAAAAAACGGAGGTAAAAAAAAAGCACGGTAACCTGGTTGCCGAGTTCACGAAGTGAATTGGCTTGTTTTACAACGTCGTTGCCAAGCGACGAAAACCCAACCCCGATGGCAAACACCGGGGGGGGGTAGAGGGAGGTAATATTGTCGTGTAAACAGGGGCGCGTGCGTGTGGGTGCCGCGATGGTGCACGTTTTGATCTGCCCTGTTTCGTTCATGTAGTTTCCGAATTCCTTCAATGCGTGCGCACGGACTTCCTGGTGTATCATCGTACTTGTTGCATTACTAATTGGTAGTATTGTGTGTGGTATGTCTGGGGCCCGATCTCCCCCAAGTTAGTTTGTGCTGTGTAGACTGGTTTTGGCAGTTTTATCATGGAAAGAAGAGCAGAAAGGAGGAGGTCGGAGGCAGCAAGTGAATGACGTGGGGGGCGAAAGATGGTCGTACGGTGTGTGTATTGTATCTATTGCGGTTGCGGTGTGTGCGAAGTACGGAGCAAGGGCCGGCAGCGAAACACAAATATCTCTGTAGGTTCTCGCAGTGTACACACTACCACCAGCCCGGGGGTAGCCCCCGCCTCAATTGAAACCCTTGTCCTTTTGCCAACGAGCTAGCAAAAAAGTAACGGTCTTCTTCAGAAAGAACTCCCGATCACATACGTCACGCCCAGGAAAAAATGATTCTGTATGGTTCTCACGGCCGCCAGTGGTTTGCCGGCGCACGGCGGGGGGAAGATTGTGCTCGCTCAGTTCCGGCACCTTCGCAGCTAGATCAACATCAATGATCATATTTTCCCTTCGGAAGAGAACAGCAGCACCGGTCCTACTCCTTTGGCTTGGAACACCTGTGGCCCATTCTCTTATTTAGGGTTGAGGTACGAGGTTCAACATTGTGGCGCTTCCATGCCCTGTGCGGTATCGGTTGTGCGACATTGACATGAAAGAGAAGCGCTGCCCCTGCCTCATCCGAAACGGGACTTCGTCGAGGGGGGCTGCGAATTACTAACAATCGTAGCTAACGGGGGATCAATCCAACAGCCCGTCCAGTCGAAATCATCTACAGAATTACAACATCCACATCCCCCTAACCTCTGTAATTGCCACATGGATTGAGGCTAAATCTGGCGCCCAGCGGGCATACCTACAGACGTCAAATACGAAAGGCAGACAGACGCATATTCTGTGAGCAGTCGAGTCGTGCGGTCGATGATGGAAGAGAAGTCTTCTCCAGATAAAATAAATAGTATACAAGCTCATCAACATAGTAACTATCAAGCACCCGCCTCCAGTTCAAAAGCTCCCCCGCCGCCGCCCCCTTGGTCCGGTGAAAACCCGACGTGCTCCGTCCCGGCATTGCAGGATGCGAGGTCAATGGTCGGGCGATTACGACATGCACGGCTGTGAGTACACCTGCTCCCGCGCCCCTTGGCGCGCCACGTACCACGGCATACCTCCCCCCTCCTCTCTATCATACCGTGCACAACGCTTGCGCAAGTATGCACATTGGTGAACCTAACCCTGTTCGTCTGACGTTGGTCAGGAAAAAAGTGGCCATGATACCCCTTCGCCGCGCGGCAATTCGAGGGGGAAAGCGAAACGACAAGTAGATCCCGACATGATGTCCAAGGGCGCAAATGTTACTCTCGTCCACTGCTGTCTCTACGCATGCACAAAGAACTCTGTTGAGGGAACCTGCAGGGAACATGGTAACTAGAGTACACTGTCCCTGTACTTTCCATGGCCTGCTAGCTTTTTCGATGAAATCCCAACGCGTGCCTACACAAACGTACCACCTCGGTATGGGCAAGATAGTCCTAATGGTGTCCATTTCATCTGGAAAACCGTTCACTCCACCCAAGGAGGAATGCCTGCAGCAGCTGTGTGTGAGCTTGGGCGAACACTACATATGCTTTCCTCGTGCAGCTTCGAACCAATTGACAAATCAGCTTCCTTGATGAACCTGGTACAACCACGAAATTCACAGACAATTCCAAAGCGCATCTCCACCCCCATTTCTTGGGCACAATGAACTGGTACGGTTTATCAAGCGTCAGCACCGAAACGAGTGGGGAAGATCTCCCCCTTTGCTGTTGGGCCCTGCTTGCTTACGAAGATACCGCCCAGGACGCGTGCGCGCCTTCGCATGAGCGACGTGCAACACCGCCTCGACCGTGAACGCTAACGTAGTGCATGCACGTACAACATGCTGCCGTCGATACAACAGCTTTATTCAGGATCTCTGTGACCCCACCCCCGCCTGCACTTGGAGCGGTGGCCTCGCCAATGCAGCATCGTCACGATCCGCCTTCAAGTTGTCTGGAGGAATCAGGCGAGTGCAACATGGGAGGAGGGACTTAACTGTCTCTTGTTGTTCCGCATGGCCAGGGCAAGTTCTCAACATCTCAACATCGGACGATGTACGGGGGGGCCATTCTCCACGGATGCAGCTGTATAACAATCAGAAATCAGGCTCACCATATATTCTGGAAACCTGCTGAACGTCGTCGTAGCTCACTCGGTTCAGCAACAGCAACATGGAGAGTGCCACGTCAGACCTGGTGGTGTTCGTTTCGCAGAAAATCACATTGAAATTAAAATCACGAGAGAACGTTCGCGGAGGTTAACCAAACCCGCCGGGCCTGTCGAACCCGCTGCCTGCGCGGTTCACGCCCCTAAACAAGACGCATGTGTGCACGAATCTAGAAATAAATGCTTGTGATGGCGAAATGGCGGGAATGGCCTGTCGGTCTACCGGTTTCACAACCCAACACATTGCATGCCATCAGTGAGTTTCACGAGATCGGCCTGCATGTCCGGTTGATCTGGCCAGGTTGCAGGACGTCGACAAACAGCATACATGTTCAACTGATGAGGGAATACTCTTGAACGTGTGACACGGCGTGCACTGCGATGTGCTGTACTGTTAGGGATGTCAAAGCGGAAAATTTCCTATAGGAAAAAAATCAATAAAGCGTCCTCGGATCTTGCTGATGGAAAATCGACCAACCAATGAAATTGCACGAAACCGTCGGAACCTCCCGAAAAGNTTTTTTTTTTGGAGGGTCTGCTGGTGTGGGCGCTGCAGCCCCACTGGAGGGGCCGTTTTCAGACATGTAGATCTCGTGGTTGGCTGATGATATTCGGATGCGGTCTGTTGAGTGGTATAGCTGTAAACCCAAGGTAGAGGGCTGTAAGCTCGCTTTGTCGAGAGGAGCAACGGTCGCCTTGGGCGTGGAGCAAAGAGCCCAAAAAATCATGTTTTTTGGTGTTGTTCGTCCGCCGTTTCACTTGAAGAGAAAACCGAGCTTACAGTTACCTCTATTGGACCTGTGTCCAGGTGTGTGTAACGCATGAAGAGCCATGCTGCTGTCTGGACGCAGAGCTGCCTGTACAAATAAATTGACTTGNCGGTCGCCTTGGGCGTGGAGCAAAGAGCCCAAAAAATCATGTTTTTTGGTGTTGTTCGTCCGCCGTTTCACTTGAAGAGAAAACCGAGCTTACAGTTACCTCTATTGGACCTGTGTCCAGGTGTGTGTAACGCATGAAGAGCCATGCTGCTGTCTGGACGCAGAGCTGCCTGTACAAACAAATTGACTTGATGTATAGTTTCTGATTCTTTTGTTTTCTTGTATTCTATCGCTCTGCTAACCCTTGGGGTCCATTTTATTTTGGTATATTTTCTAGGTACGTTAGCCTGTGACCACGGAAATTGACCGAGTCAAGTGCTGGATTAGTACGGAGAGATTGAGACAGGAGGTACTGGATAGAGAGACCGGGATGGTTTTTAATGTGAACATAACAACAACAACAACAACAACAACAACAACAACAACAACAACAACAACAACAACAACAACAACAACAACATAGTTTATTCAGTATTAACAGCGGGATTCTCAAGCACCAAAAAACGAGCCAAATCCGCGTGCCCCCCTCAAATTTTGCCGAATGGACCGGACGTTTTTTTGGTCCCAAATTCCGCCGCTTTAACACCCCTAACTGTTCTCTCAAATCTGTGACCGTCTTCGTCTCACGTAGCTTGAGGCAAAACGGCCTTGTCACATTCCCCAACGGTCAGAAATGATACCGCTCCTTTGCCCGGCAACAAAAAACGCACCGACGGATTTCATGGGTAGGCATTGCTGCGGACACCTCTGCCTGTGTGTGCCGCATCTTTACCTGCCTAAAACCCCGCCAGGCCGCTCCTCCGGTGGTATCCCCAGGAGTTCGGTGACGGCAGAATCTGCCAGACTCGCCGCCGCCGCCCCTCCCGCGGCGGTGTTTCTCCTGGAGAACTGGCCGAACACCTATCGGGAAGAGTAACGTCGGAGTCGCAGACACGCACGCATGGAAAAGGGGGCGGGGGAGAGCGAACGGATTTTAATGGCTTGCCTCGTATCCTGTGAGAACGGACAAAACATCATTTTTCGAGATCGCACACGGTTCTTGGCACCTTTCTTGCTCGGAAACTCAACCCAACCCGATCGGATCGCGTGCAACTCAACGCCAACCCCAAGAACCGCAACCAAACCTTCGTCAAACTTCAACGGACCCGATACAACGAGCTTGGACGAACACAGCCGACTATCCTTCAACTACAATCAGAACGCGAATCCACCTTCAACGCTTGAAAAATCCTACGCCGTCAGCCTCCAAGGCCTATAGTAGTCCACCTTTGCCTCCGCCCTCAATGTCCAGACTGTGAAGGGGAAAGTGCCCGCAAATCGCAGCGCCTCCAGCATGGCGCCAGTGGCAGCAATGCTATAGAACGAGGTGAACCACTTCATGGCCGGGGAGGTCGGCACCACGTCTCCGTAGCCGATGGTGCTAGAGGTTACGATCACCCAGTAGAAGCTGGTCGGAAACGACGTCCCCTCCCCGAGCATGAACGCGACAACCCCTGCGACCAAGAGGGACCAAGGGGGAGGAGGAAATAGCCAGCGGGGTACGACGCCGTCAGAGGAAGATAGAGAGAGAGCGTTCCTTGAACACGCGCAGTCAACATGAAAGCGTAGCCCGGGCCTTCCAAACCGCGGCAGCAGCGAGGGGAAAACGACACCGATTGGGCACACAGCACACGCATGAGGCATTCAAACACCGCAAAATTAGAGAGCCTCACTGGCAGATGGAAGTTTGTTGTCGAAGACCGAAAAAAATGGAGTTTATTGTGAACGGAAGGATCTGGAACATGTCGCAAATCGACGTACGTATTTTGGTTCTTGTTGTGCCGCCCTAGAGGGGTGTTGGTTCGGTTTTCCTGGTTTGGTTTTCTGGGGTCCCACAAAGAGAAACGGTCTCGCAGTTCTCATTCTGCTGCCTCGCTGCTCCTGCAGCAAGAGTTTGATACACGCATGTCCACTGGACCCAACAGCCATGTGGAGGAACTCGGTGTGTAGTACGCAGCCCGCTTTGGAGGGTCATGCGGCAAAGAAGGTCAGCATCTACCTACGTCAAAATTTGTACCATAGCTAGCAAACAAGACGTGGCTTTTACTAGAAACAAAAACTATTTCCCTGAAATTTCTGAGCAGCACACCGTGTTCCTCACCGATTACGATCACCACCAAAAGAACGACGAGGCGGTGGATTAGCTTCCAGCGGTATTTTCGGATGGAGAGCTCAGCGTCAAACTCAGCCACGGCTACAAGACGTTCGCCAGCCACGAATACAAGACGTTCGCCACGGAGTTCCGATGGCGAAGAACATACACGCGTAAATGTTTGGCAGGCAGTGAACCGGAGGAGAGGGGTGGGTAAATCGTGTTAAAAGCATTGTTTTCTTTCGATCGCGCGCGGTACCATAGCCACGGCTAAGAAAGACATGTAGCTTCATACAGAAAAAACCACGTGCTGTCATTGATACACAAGTTCCATCACGTACAAGACATGATCATGGGCAACAAAATCAGCGTGCAGCTAGACAATACCTCACTCTATCCCGACAATACTGGCGTTTTCGTCACATGCACGAACAAGGAGGGTGGCGCTAGCGGAGAGTTTGGCTACGTCAAGGGCATCTGCTCGCCCTATGTATGGAGAACGCACAACTTCAACCGAAGACAAAAAATACCAACAAAGCGAGGACGTCTATGGTACAACGACACGCCCATAACGACGTAGGCGACAACGACAGCATCATTGACGACCACCACAACAACGCACTCACGTCCATGTCCCTCAACACGCCTCGACCGGGCGGAGCTCAACCATTGGCTGGCACAGGCGGCCCAAATGGTGATCGAAAACAGGCCCAGAGCGATGAGCACGGAATCTAACAACCGATCCGTACCCCGCTCATTGACTACGACATCTCCGTATCCGATCGTTAGCATAGAAGTGCTCTGTGGCGCGGGAGTGACCAATCAACGGTTTCGGTGGGGGAAGGGGGGGGGGGGGGGG